CCCCAAAACCCCAAAACCCCAAAACCCCAAAACCCCGCTAAAGTGTGGACAGGTTGAAAGTTAGTGGCTCGATTAATAATTAAAAAATATCCAATTTGGAAATTGTATAAATATAATGGAATACAGTTCAGCATCTTCAGCTAAGATAAGCTATGTTCCCATGAGAATAATGGACAAGCAATACTATTACACAGATGTAAGGGTTTCAAGAATCCCACAGGAAAATGAAGCTCAGATCAAAGACCCCTTCTCAGAAACAACATTTCTAATGGTCCTAGATATGTCTGGCTCTATGTGTGGTGGTAGATGGAAGGCCCTCACTGAAGGGGCCATCCAAGTAGCCACGAGAATCTATGAAAAGAATGAATTTAATCACTTTATCACGATGTTCTTCAATAATTCAGTTCATATGATGCCTACTGACAGTCTTTATGATTTTAAGGAAAAGATATCTAAAGTTAGAGCTACTTCTACAACGAATTTTCTTAAAGCCTTTGAGAGGATACAAACTTACTGTGAGAGGAAAGAAACTCAAGACCTGACCGTTCTATTCCTCACAGATGGAAATGACACGTGTAACAAAGCTGTAAAGGTAGAAAGTGGGCTAGAAACCCTAAAAGATTTTTTAAACAAGAGAGAAATCACTAGTAGATTCTTCACAATAGGTTTTTCGAAAGAGCATGACTCTGTACTCATCTCAAAGATTGCCAAAGCTGGATCAGAGCTTGGAAACTTCTTTTATGTAGACTCCACAGTGACTAGTAGCTATCACTATAAGGATCATATCAAAGAGTGTCTGGTAAAAACATTTGATCTTGGAAATCCAGCTAAGAGCCTAAGCGCAAATTTGCATTTAAGAAAATCAATTAAAAAAATCAGTTTACTGCCAGTCACAGAAGAGGAAAAATCTGAGACCAAGGAGTACATCACCCAACTTGTTCTAGAAGAACTACCTAATAGAGAGGTTGAGCTTGAGATCTTGGGTACAGGGGAGTCTCATATAATTCGACCAGAGCAAGAGCAGGTCTTCGGTGCTGAAAATTTGTTGAAAACAGAGGTTCATATTACAAATGAGCTATTTTTCGACTATGTTCAGAAAGTTGTCAGCACTGAACACTTAAGTGCTGAAGAAGCTAAGGAGATCTACGAGAAGGTGTCAGTCATAAATGACAGGGTATCAGAAATGATCACCGAGACCTTCAAAATTAAGAATAGGCCTATAAGAAAGAGTTTAATGCATGCTTGTCAGGCCTTTAAAGAGAAATGCCATACAGTTGTTGAGACTCTTAGAAGCATAATTGTTAACAAAGACACTCTCGACTCTGCCAAGATAGCAAAGCTCAATGATCTTGCATATAAAAATATTAGGACTCAGGGTCTCAAGAGAAAACTCGATGAAAGAGCTATAAAGAATAGAGAATATTACCAGGAGCTAAGTAAGCAAATTCAAGAAAGAGTAAAAGAAATCGATGTGAATAAGATCACTCAAGAAAACCAGGATATAATTGACTTTGTTGGAGACTGCCCTCTTACTTGCCTCAATGCAGCTGAAGCATTAGAGGAAGGTGATTGCTTAGGACTTTGCTTAGATGTTGCTAGATCTACAGCTACTATTGCTGACTCGAACCAACTAATTGTCAAAGATGTCATTCCAACCTTTATGTGTTGTAGCGCTTATTTAGACTCAGCTACCTATAATCTTGAGAGATCTGAAACTGCTGCGGGAACATTTGATACTGAAACCCAAGGTGACTTAGCAACTGGAGTTGGAAGAGAAAAGGTCACTGGTCTTCTTCCTTTGTACCTATTTGATGATCATTGGGAGATTTCCAAAAGAACAATTCCATCTATCTTCGGATTCATGTGTACCTTAGATATTATGGGATACTCGGATGACCAATTTTACACAATCCCTTACACTGTTCTGTACAAATGCTATGAAAAATGCTTTGAAAATAACAATGACATCAACCAGAAGATGCTAAAGCTTGTGCTGCAGACATGTGTACAGCTTCAAACTAGGCACAAAGGTCATGTAGAGAGAATTATCAATACTCTGAAAGATTTCGAGAATGACCCAATTAAGAGAGGAAAGGACTGTATTCCAAATTTTAAAGTTTTCCTCGCCCAAATTCTCACTGCTATTGAAGCAGGCACCATCTCAGACATCTCTGAGTACGATTGGCCTAAGATTTTGAGGTTCTTAGTCGAGGAAGAGAATAGACGTACTGCCCTCAAAGGCCTTGAAACATTAACAATTCGTGAGCAATCTGATTTTTTTAATGACGGAAAGACTAATGAAATAGTTGACAAAGCATTAGAAATCAAGCAACTTTCTGAAGATGCAAAGCTTACACAAGAAGAGATCAAAGAGATGGTCCAAAAGAAACCAGAAGAAGATAAAAGCATCTCTGAGAAAGATGAAGCTGTCAAAGAGCTTATTGAGGATGAAATTGGATCTAAACCATGGGAATCACAACTTCAAAACCCTGATCATGTTCACTCCAAAGGGGTTTCTAAGTTTTATTCGAGTATTAATAGGAAATTTTCATGGATGAAGCCATTTATACACTACTTGAATTGACCAGAGCTACTTGTTGCTGATTCATTCAGTGAGTATCCTATATTTGAGGAACCTTTGGTTGTCCTTGCAATGGGATTCCAGAACCACATGCACATCACTAATAAGGCTAGAAGAGAAGCAATCGACAAAGGAACATACAAGGAAATACTTACCAAAGAAGATGCTGAGGCTTATTTCACAAATGTATATAAAGAAGCCTTAAAGCTGGAAATATCTGCAGAAGAAACTAGAATTTTGCTTCTTTTAAGCTACCAATACTCATCAAGTATTGGTGAAATGTCATTAATAGTCTCTAATTTGAGTTCATTTGCTGACCTCATCCAGAATCTTAAAGTAGGAGATAGAGGAGTGACTAACTTGCTAAATGCATTATCTAAAACCAAAGGTATCTCTATTTACAATAAGCTAAAAATAATCATCACCAGACAATACGATGGTCGGGAAATGTTCGCAGATGAGTACAAGATGGACCCTGGAAATTACAGAATGAAATCTTCTCTGATGTTCAGGTTTTACTATCATTATGTATACAAAAATCAGGAGATGACTAAAGAGCAATTTAAAGAGCTGTTTCCATATATCACAGAGGACAAGATAGAGAAATGGATCATCACTTATACCACAAATTGCCCAGCTAATCTTTTATAATAAAGATGGAATTATATAAAATATTATTATATTTGGGGTTTTGGGGTTTTGGGGTTTTGGGGTTTTGGGG